CGCAGTGGGTTTCAGGCAAGCCAGATGCCACATACAGGAAGCCTCCATCACGTGACTTCTCAAGGTCTTCTCCAAAGGGGGATGTGAGGGAGAATTGCAATGCCTCATTGTCAACATCCTTGTGAGATGTTTCCTCAAAACAAACATTTAAGGGCCTCTCTCTTGAAATAATTCCCCAACTGGTTTGAGAAGAAGAAGCAGAGTTCTCTTTTTCACTTCACCAGGAACCCAAACAGTGTGTTCATGAGCGATACCATGGGAGGCAGAGTGCAAACACAGCTGGAAAACCTCAGCCTAAAACTGAGAAACACACTTCCCCGCTTCCTCACACATGAAGGGGCAGCTCTCCGGTCCAGAGGGATCCCGGAGATCAACACAGAGCTGAAGCCAGTCCTGAGCTCTTCTCTGCGTCATGTCAGGCCTCTGCCGGGCCCTCCAGGGGCCTCGCACCCCAGGTCCATCGCGACCCTCATCCAGCTGGGTTCCTGCCTCCATGCTCCCACCTGGCGTCAGCCAGCCCTCTGCTGGGTGATTTGTTTTCATGTCAGATCCTCATATCAACTACACACTGTTATCATCCCCTTATTTCCAAACAGCTCAGGTCATGGATGTAGTGTGGTCAGACTCACTTGGGTAGGAAGTGCAGATGTGGGATTTGGTCCATAGTTTCAGCCAATGATTCTCACCCAAGTCAATACAGCAGAACATCCTTGGGATGGCTCGCCCTCCTCACCCATGTGCCCTGGTGTAACTCCCTAACTGCAGGGCCTTGGCCTGTAATGCACATGTTACTGGGATTGTCCAAGTGAAGAATACAAAGGCAGAAAGTTAATCACTGGGCCCCGGGTTCTGCATCTCGGTGCCCCACAGTGGACCATCGTCTGATGAGAAACACCAGGTCTTCATCTTCCTCCCGGCAATCGAGGAAGAATCACATGGGAAAACCAGGCAAGGAGTAAATCCTATTAGAGAGCAATCTGTGTCACAACAAGGGCCTCTCAGGTGGCTCAGTGGTAAAGAATCCACCTGTCAATGCACGAGACCCAAGAGACTCAGGTTCAATTCCTGGGTTGGAAAGATCCCCTGGAGGAGAAAATGGCAACCGGCTCCAGTATTCTTCCTGGAAAACCCTGTGGACAGAGGAGCCTGGTGGGCTACAGTCCATGGGGTTGCAAAAGACAGACACAACTTAGAAACCAAACAACAGAAGTCACGAGAAATTACTTCCCTCCAAGATGCTGCACATGAGCTCAGGCCACTTCTCTGTTCCAACAGGTACCTTACTGAGATGGAGCCTCTATGACCACGGCTGGGAGGAACCACAGTCCAATCAGATCTGTAGACTGGCTATTCCAATGGCTACCTTCTTCCTCAAAACAAAAATTCACAAGTATCACTTCCTGGGTAGCTCCGGTACACTCTTCATCAACATTGAAGATGTGTCACACACCTGTGCGCAGTCACAAATACACATTCACACAGACCCACACACTCACCAGTGTCTTACAGACATGGCAGCCTGAACGCAGAGCCCTTCAAGCAAGGTGTGAGCCACATCAACTCCCGCAAACAAACAAACACAAGGGAAGGATGGGATTCGGCACAATGGCACCAACTTGGGTGTGACCAGCTCTTACAAGTTAAAGCTGTTTTTGTTGTTATCATCTCCAAAAGAGGCCATGGAAGAAGTGGAGGCTGTGACACAGTCTTTGGAAGTAGGCAGAATACACTACCCGTGGGAACCTAGGGAAGTTATTTTTCTTCTCTAAGTCCCAGGGTGCTCACCTGCAAAGAGGAGATAATAACATGAACCTCGTGGAGCTGTTCTCAGGAATATCAACATGTCCCTTGGCCTCTGAGTTCCTAAGAGGGAATGTAAGTTATGGGCAAGACTGAAACATTATCAGAACTTCCCTGGTGGTCCAGTGGCTAAGACCCCTCACTCCCAATGCAGGTTGCCTGGGTCTCATACCTGGTCAGGGAATCAGATCCCACATGACACAGTTAAGACCCAGCGCAGCCAAATAATAAATAAATAAAATATTTTAAAATAATAAAACATTGTCTTAAATTTCATCTCACTTATCTTATCCTCAGTTCAGTTGCCCAGTCGTATCCGACTCTTTGCAACCCCATGGACTGCAGCACGCCAGGCTTCCTTGTCCATCTATGTGCCTACATTTCTATTTAATCGAGACCCAGCTTAAATAATGAAAAGGGACCCTGCTTTGGCAGAGGTACCTGGGACAAGAAAACATGGATAGAATGAGAAAATACCAGTTTTACAGGAGACACTCATTTCTCGCATGGACTCAATTTCACCCCAGGGTTACCCCAGTGACTCAGCAGTAAGGAATCCACCTGCCAATGCAGGAGATGTGGGTTCCACCCCTGGGTCTAGAAGATCTCCTAGAGGAGGAAATGGCAACCCACTCCAGTATTCTTGCCTGGAGAATCCCATGGACAGTGGAGACTGGCGGGCTACAGTCCATGGGGTCACAAAGAGTCAGACACGACTTAGTGACTAAACAACAATATTTACCCACTGAACGAAACACACACATACACAGGGCTGGATGGGGTGAGGGAACCACCTGTCCCACTTTACTGCTGGCCAGTGATGTTTGACAAGTTCATCCCGAGCAGGTTTACTTAGGGCATGGGAATCCTGGGGATATGACACCACATTCCAGACTAAAGATGTATGTAGAAGGGACCCAGCCCCAGGGCTCTTTCCCAAGCAGGAGAAAGTATATAGGAGATGGAAGAAAAAATAAGCTCACATGTTTCAAGAAAGCATGCAAATATAAGAAATAATAGGAAAAAGGGATTCATAAAGGTTTAGTGATTCACCTAACCTTCTTAATGGAATGTCTGTGATTGTAGTTATTACTAGCATCACATTGTTCGTTAACAGCATTTCCCCTGTATTTGAAGACATAAATAGCTTATTTATGTCTTCAACTACTTTATGTTCAATTTTATATCTACAAGACAAAGTTCTGAAAGGCAGGGATAAAGTTCTAGTCATCCACACATCCCCTGACTCTGTGGAATAGAGTTGACAAGAGGTTTGATTTGTGCCCTTTGAAGGGCGCCATCTAGAGGCAAGTACTTCAAATAGCACCTCCATGCACTGCTAAGCAACTCAAAACGCATCCATCCACACACACATGTAACTGCAAAAGTAAGGCATACCCCCGACACAAACCCTGGAAGAAGTAAAGTCTCTATGATAGTTACAAAATTGAATTTAGATCAGACACAAAGCCTGAGAAGACAGATTTTTGCTTTCAGTTTTTGTTCATTGAAAGTACCATTTCTTTCACAAAACAAGCTTTATGGGAATAGGAACTGAGTAATCATCTTGTCAGTTACAATTCATAAAAAATAGGCTCCATCATTAGCTAAATACAACAATTCAAATACAATTTAAGAAGTATCAAAAAACCCTAAAAAAAAAAAACCACCAGTAGCAGCAAAAACATTGAACATTTGTAAACAAAATCACCAGTAACATTTCAGTTCAGTTCAGTTGCTCAGTCCTGTCTGACTCTTTGACACCCCATGGATTGCAGCACGCCAGGCCTCCCTGTCCATCACCAACTCCCAGAGTCCACCCAAACCCATGTCCATTGAGTTGGTGATGCCATCCAACCATTTCATCCTCTGTCGTCCCCTTCTCCTCCTGCCCTCAATCTTTCCCAGCATCAGGGTCTTTTCAAATGAGTCAGCTCTTTGCATCATGTGGCCAAAATACTGCAGTTTCAGCTTCAGCATCAGTCCTTCCAATGAATATTCAGGACTGATTTCCTTTAGGATGGACTGGTTGGATCTCCTTGAAGTCCAAGGGACTCTCAAGAGTCTTCTTCAACACCACAGTTCAAAAGCATCAATTCTTCAGCACTCAGCCTTCTTTATAGTCCAACTCTCACATCCATACATGACCACTGGAAAAACCATAGCCTTGACTAGACGGACCTTTGTTGGCAAAGTAATGTCTCTGCTTTTCAATATGCTGTCTAGGTTGATCATAACTTTCCTTCCAAGGAGTAAGTGTCTTTTAATTTCATGGCTGCAGTCAACATCTGCAGTGATTTTGGAGCCTAGAAAAATAGTCAGCCACTGTTTCCCCATCTATTTGCCATGAAGTGATGGGACCGGATGCCATGATCTTAGTTTTCTGAATGCTGAGCTTTAAGCCAACTTTTTCACTCTCCTCTTTCACTTTCATCAAGAGGCTCTTTAGTTCTTCTTCACTTTCTGCCATAAGGGTGGTGTCATCTGCATATCTGAGGTTATTGATATTACTCCCAGCAATCCTGATTCCAGCGTGTGCTTCATCCAGTCCAGCGTTTTTCATGATGTACTCTGCATGCAAGTTAAATAAGCAGGGTGACAATATACAGCCTTGACATACTCCTTTTCCTATTTGGAACCAGTCTGTTGTTCCATGTCCAGTTCTAACTGTTGCTTCCTGACCTGCATACAATTTCTCAAGAGGCAGGTCAGGTGGTCAGGATTCCCATCTCTTTCAGAATTTTCCACAGTTTATTGTGATCCACATAATCAAAGGCTTTGGTATAGTCAATAAAGCAGAAACAGATGTTTTTCTGGAACTCTCTTGCTTTTTCAATGATCCAGCGGATATTGGCAATTTGATCTCTGGTTCCTCTGCCTTTGCTAAAACCAGCTTGAACATCTGTTCATGATTCACGTATTGCTGAAGACTGGCTTGGAGAATTTTGAGCATTACTTTACTAGTGTGTGAGATGAGTGCAATTGTGCGGTAGTTTGAGCATTCTTTGGCACCAGTAACAACTTTACTCTTAATAACAAAGAATCCACAGTCTCCAAAAATATTAAATATATATAATAAAGAGAATATTGGTCATCTTTTTTCTTAATAGACAATAGTCAAAACAATGTTGTCAACAGGAGACACAAGCGATATGATCGTAAGGCATGTTGCACGGTCTTTCTCGCTGTAGTCAAGTACATCATGTCGCTGCAGAGGGTAGACTTTCCAGAAGTCTTCTCCTCGCTGTGATCCTCGCACACCGGGGGCACTTGGCGGACTGGAAGCACTGCTTGTGAAAGCAAGCTCTGCATGCTGCAAGCAAGGAAGAGAGCCGTCAGCAAGTGGGTAACTGGTTTCTCAAATGTGTAACAGATGCTCATCCCCAGCCTGGGGAGAGAGGACCTGAAGACAAGAGGACTTGTCCCCAGCAGGTCATGAGGATGGGCCTCCCTGGTGGGCCAGTGGTAAAGAATCCTCTTGCCAATGCAAGAGACACGGGTTCCATCCCTGCGTCGGGAAGATACCCTGGAGAAGGAAATGGCAACCTGCTCCATATTCTTGCCTGAGGAATCCCATAGACAGAGGAGCCTGGTAGGCTATAGTTCATGACGTCACAAAGACTCAGACACGACCTAGCAACTAAACAAAAACAACAACAAGGCCATGAGGACCAGTGAAACAGGCCGAGAGAGCTTGGGTAGTGCCTCCCAGATCCACTCAAAGACCATCCATCGTGGGTGCCGGGAAAGCTGGTGGCTGATGGCTCAGGAGGCGACATCCCTTCTCTGGAAATGGCCCCAACCAGAGAGCGCTGCCTCAGTCAAGGTTATGCCCCCTTGCTGGTCCCAGGCCACATCCAGTGACTGGTCAATATGAGGTCTCAAGGCCTGGCCGGCTCTCTGTCCCTAATTTGGGAAAATGCTGAAAATCTACCCCAGCTCTAGAGTCCCCTGAGAGATGCACTGAGCCTTCATGGCAACCATACCATTTTCAGCTTCTTCCTTGGCCCAGGCTGCTGCCTTCATACCCTCGTGGGTGTGGAGCCTGAGAACAAACCCTAGGGCAGTGGTTCGCAAACTTTTGGCACCAGGGACCAGTTTTGTGGAAGATAATTTTTCCATGGGTCAGGGTTGGGGATGGTTTGGGGATGATTCAAGTGCATTACATTTATTGTGCATTTTATTTCTATTATTACATTTCTATTTATTACATTATTACATCAGCTCCACCTCAGATCATCAGGCATTAGATCGCAGAGGTTGGGGACCCCTGCAATGAACTTGGGATTGACTGTGATTCAATTACAAAACAGGTGCAGCTGTAACTTGCCCTGATGTAGAAGAACTGGGGGATAGGTCAAACAGGGCCACCTCCTATCTCTGAACCCTGTTCCCTGAGACATCATCCTTTATCCCCGCCCCACTCACACCTCCTCCCCGTGCACCCAAAACTTTACCAGCTCCAATTCAACAGAGAAGCACACACTAGTATCGTTATACCTTAAAGAAATAACACTATGCTTTAGTTATTAAGCTTAAGTTGATAGCTCAGTTGGTAAAGACTCTGCCTGCAATGCAGGAGACCTGGGTTCGATCCCTGGGTTGGGAAGATCCCATGGAGAAGGGAAAGGCTACCCACTCCAATGTTCAGGCCTAGAGGATTCCATGAGTCCATGGGGTCACAAAAGAGTTGGACACGACTGAGCGACTTTCACTTTCAAGCTTAAGTTAATTTTGTGCTTAAGTTAACAGACTTTGTGCTTATGTTATTATAGTGCTATTAAGCTTACGGTATTATGGTATTAAGATACCTGAACATCTTCTACACGTTGCAGTCTGAAATGGGAAAATGACAGCTGTACTCCGGCAAAATTCACAAATGAAGCCTTTTCCTTGACACAGCTGTAAGAATAGGAGTCAAAAGTGAGAGTCTTCACGGGCAATGTTTCTCCTGATGGAGAAACTGAGTTCCACTTTCACAGAACTCTATAAACACCAGATTTTCACACTCCCCCACCCCAGGTACTGAAATTTGTTATTCTAAAATCCCCTAAATTGGCTGTGGAAGTAACAAGTTTCTGCACTTTAAAGGTTTATATAAATCTGTGAATTGCAATTTTCATAGAAGTCAAAATGAAACGTTCTTCACAGGACAAAAGATAGGCCTAGGCAACATATCATATTTGCAGAAGGCCACTGAATGTCATGGATACAAGTAACAATTAAAAAGCCTGTCTATGTCAGATGAAAGAAAAATTTCAGTTCAGTATTCTATAAGCCAAGATGGTAAACTCCTCTCACTACACAAGAGTTCTAATGATACACAGTTTCAAAAACATCATTTTTTAAGTGTCTGTGATTCCAGCCTCTAGAAGGAAACAGAATACCATCTCCTGCCACAGTGGATGGATCAGAGCAATAAATGTGCGTCCATTTTGTGTGGACAACTGCATCAGGGTAGTTTGAGGCACCAGAGAAAGATCATGATTTTCAACATGTGTTCTTAAATGATCTCATTTTATTTCTGGGAGCTCCCCTGCAATTCATCAGTCCATGAAGACACAGAGCTCCTGTCCCACTGGATCCTGAGTCTATGCGGCTGCACTTGGCACATCAGAGCAGAGGAGAATGGAAGGAGGCCACACGCTGGCTGCGTGCTCAGACTACCAGTCACTTGGCCCAGGCTTGCATTCCAGCAGGACACTCTAGGTCTGGTACCGAACAGCTCTGCACCTCATTTCACTCATCAGTAAATAGTGCAGGGGCTTCCCCAGGGGCTCAGTGGTAAAGAACCTGCCTGCTAATGCAGGAGACGTGGGTTCAGTCCATGGACTGGGAAGATCCCCTGGAGAAGGAGATGGCAACCCACTCCAGTACTCTTGCCTGGAAAATCTTATGGACAGAGGGGCTTGGTGGGCTACAGTCCATGAGGTCGCACAGAGTCGGACACGACTTAGTGACTAAACTACGGCGATGGAAAGTGTTCCTGGCACTTTCCTCAGTTTGTGAGGGTAAAGGAGGCAAGTGCAGAACAGCCCACCCGGGATCGGCGGCAGAAAGGACAGCTCAGGGCCACACCCGCCGGGGCAAGGAGCTCTCACCTCGCAGCCGGCCACGTGCTCGAGGGAAGCTTTCAGAATGTCCCTGAGCGAGGGCACCAGCAGCCCCCTCTTGACCTTGACCATGTCCTCCAGGGAGAACAAGTGGAGCGCCTCCGTCAAGTGTCCTGGCAGCTGCTCAAACGCCTTCAGTGTGCTTCCGGAGAGAAAACCAAGAGGAAATCAGAAACTCACGCACACAGGTCGGGGCAGGAACCTGGGACTGGGGAGAAGGGTCTGTTTTTTCCTGGCTCTCAAAACTGAAATTTTTCAACTCAACTTAAAAAAAAAAAAAAAGCCCCAGGAACAAGTTAATCTTACTCCCTACTTTACATTTTGCAAGTTTTGCTTGGAAGCCAGGAAGTTAAAATTTCGTAAATAATGATTTCAAAAAGCTGAATGAGAAAAGTGTCTCTGACAGCTGCCCATGTACACTTTGAGTGAAAGAAAACTTAAAATTTGGTTTTTGAGTCGTGACAACATGTACTGAGATAATAATGACCACTTTATTCAACTCCAGCTCAATTTCAAGTCCATCAGTGTGACTGATGGATATCTCAGGAGAGTTATTGATGCTATGACTCCCAAACCTTGGGTCCAGCACTGATATTAAGACATAAGCATCCAACTGAGTCGGGAAGATCCCCTGGAGAAGGAAATGGCAACCCACTCCAGTATTCCTGCCTGGGAAATCTTATGGACAGAGGAGCCTGGCAGGCTACAGTCCCACAAGGAACTGGACATGACTAAGCAACAACCACAATCCAAGTGCCGCTAGTTAAAGGCACTTGGATGTCCCATGGGCATTCAGAACAGTATGTAATCTTCTCCCAGCCCCCCTGATCTCTTTCTGAACCCCCTATGTCAGTCAGCAGCATCACCATGCACTGCATTCCCAAGTCTACACTGCACCTGATGCTCTAGGGATGCCAAACCCAGTTTAATTCTCTGCCCAGCTATGGGTGGTCCTCGCTCACACTATTTCCTCGGCCGGAGGGTCTCTGAACCCTCGTTTTTGCTCTAACTTGCTCTTCAAGCTCTGGCTTTGTCCCTAGGAAGCCCTGTCTGCCCGCCTCCCCACCTTGTCCCTTAAAAAGTGCGTGCTGCCCCTCCCCCATGCCCTCAGGAGCACGTGCACAGGCACACGCTTTGGCAATGATCTCTCTGTGCTGACTTCCTCCCCAGACTCTCCCTGAACACGTGTCCTGTTGCTTTTTCATCTGAGGCACAGAGTGGATATTCAAGACATATTTGCAGATGGTAAGAACTGTGGATATTGTTCATGTTACAGAGAAAACTGAGGCCCTGAGAAGAAACTAACTTTTCACCCCAAAGCCAAGAGATACGTATAGCTCAAGGCCAAATGATTATAAAGGACAAGCTCCTCCCCAAGAAATGTAATTCAGAAGTAGTGCATCATTAAATAAAGATCAGAACTAGAAAGCAGCTTTAAAAGAGAACAAAATTTTTTAAAAACCTATAATCCCAACTGGTAGCTCAGATGCTAAAGAATCTACCTGCAATGCAGGAGACCCTGATTCAATCCCAGAGTTGGAAAGATCCCCTGGAGAAGGGAATGGCAATCATTCCAGTATTCTTGCCTGGAGATTTCCATGGACACACCATAGGGACACAAAGAGTTGGACACAACTGAGAGATGATCTCAGCTATTATAACAAATAATCCTAACTCCTTGAGTAACTTTTCCTCCTCTTAAAAATATCTCTGCTAAATGAATTCATGCCTGGGCCTTTATGGCCATGGCCTCTAAAAGTTCATCCTCAGGACATACCTATGAATGTGGTCAGAGATTCAGCTGAAGCTTAGTGTTTAGGTGGTTTTTTTTTTTTTATAACAAAAGATATTTAAAATGTATTAGGTGTTCAGTAATAGGACAATACTTAAATGAATACCACATCATAGTACAGAATATTATACAGCCAGTAAAAGTCGGCATGCCTCTTTATCAGAGTGTTTTATTTATTTATTTATTTTTTATCAGAGTGTTTTAAAAGGCACTGGTACACCCATGAACACAGCAGCACTAGTCACAATAACCAAAAGAAAGCAACCCACGGTGGATGGATCAGTCAACAAAAGATGGAATATAGAGACAATGTATGTATATTCAACATCACTCCACCTTTCAAAGGAAATACTGACACAGGCCACAGTGTGAGTGAAGCTTGAAGACATGATGCTACATGAAATGCCAGGCACAAAACAATAAACACTGTATGATTCCACTCATATGAGGTACTTAGAATAGTCAAAATCATAGAGACAGAAAAGAGAATGGTGGTTCCCACAGGCTGGAACAGAGGATGGAGAACTACTGTGGGTAAAGAGTTTCAGTTCTACAAAATGAAAAGAGCTCTGTGGATGGATGGTGACATGAATGTACCTAACCGCTTAACTGTGCACTTAAAAAGGGTTAGGATGGTAACTTTATGTTATGTGTATTTTATCACAACTTAAATACCCTGGAGAAGGGAAAGGCTACCCACTCCAGTATGCTGGCCTGGAGAATTCCATGGACAAAGGAGCCTAGTGGGCTACAGTCCATGGGGTCACAAAAGTTGGACACAACTGAACAACTTTCACTTTCATTTTTTTTTTTCAAAACAATAACAAAATCCCACTGCCTAGGGTTGTTTTATACTTAAACTGGTCCATTCTTCTTAACATGTTAAATTCCCTGGTAGTGAGTAAGAACGTTTAGCAACATTCAAGAGGGTGTCTATATCCCCAAGGAGAGGCATGAGATGATCACTGTGCACTGGTGGAGATGGACCACAAAGCACAGGGGACCAGCCAGAGTGTGGAGGTTCTCAGACCTCCCATTCGTAGCGCAGCCCATCCCAGCCAGCAGTGGTACCTTTCAGCAAACCTGCAGGTCTTCAACAGCTTCTTGATATGAAACAGCTGCTCCTGGATTTCCTAAGGTGAGAAACCAAACGGGGGGGAAGTGTAATGTGATAAGCAACACTGGAAATTATAAGTCAAAATTAAATGTTATTTCTAACCTTGAAATGCTACGACTCTAGAAAATAAGCCTTTGAAATGCACAGTCTATAAAGCATATAGACTGTGCATATATATAAAGCATATAATGCACAGTCTATAAAGTGGCCCATGACTGAGTCCAGAGATCTACAGAGGGCCCAGGAAGGACCAGGTCTTGGGGAGTCTAAAGCTTACACGATGTCTGGGGCCTTCTTTTTAAAAAAATACCGAACTATGTACAAAAGAGGGAGATTCTGTGATTGGAGACACCATGGATGTACCTGGAGGACATTATGCCAAGTGAGTGAAGTCAGACACAGAAAGACAAAAACTGCCTGATCTCATTTATACAGGGAATCTAAAAAAGTCAAGTACATAAAAGCACAGACTATAAGGGTGGATCCTGGAGTGAGGAGGTGGGGAAATGGGGAGATAACTGGTCCAGGACGCAGAGTTACAGTTACCTAGGATAAGACCACGGCATTGGGAAGGAGTTGGACATGAGTTAGCGACTAAACAACAAGGATAAGTCTAGAGATCTCATGTACAGCATGATGAGTATCACTCACAAGACTGTATTAAAAACTGGAAATTTGTTAAGAGAGTAAGTTTTAGGTGTTCTCATCACATACACAGACAGGTAACCCCATGAGGGGATGGACATGTTAATTAGCTTGACTATCAATCATTTCACTGTGTATATGTACATCAAGTCATCATGTAGTACCCCTTAAACACATACAATTTTTCTTTAAAAGATGGTGGTGGTTAAGTCACTAAGTTGTGTCCGACTCTTGCATCCCCATGGACTGTAGCCCACTAGGCTCCTCTGTCCTTGGGATTTTCCAGGCAAGAATACTGGAGCAGGGTTGCCATTTCCTTCTCCAGGGGATCTTCTCGACCCAGGGATCTAACCTGGTCTCCAGCACTGCAGGCAGATTCATTACTGACTGAGCTAGCAGGGAAGCCCCATTTAAAAGATAATAAAATTCGAAAGCTAGGTACAAACAAAACTAGGCATAAAGATCAGATCTGGGTATGGGGCTTTGAAAAGAGCCTAAGCAGGAGGTCTCTGAAGCGTAAGCTCCAGCTGCTGGATAGTAAGTCCACCCCTGAAAGGCTCTCTCTGGATCCCCAGAGCCGGGGGGAGACGTCCACTTTCTGCCGCAGGGCCCTTTCGGCCACTGGACTCCCTCCCCCAGGAAAGGAGGCTGCTCACCCTCACTCTGTCCAGTTCCCTGGCCTTCGTGTACAGGCCGTGGCTGACGTGCAGCAGGTTGAAGATGGGCTCATGCCATATGTGGTCCAGCAGGCGTTTGGAGAAGTTGCTGACGTAGTACTTCCGGAAGTCCCACATCCTGAGGATCCGGGCGGGAATGCAGGACTCCGAGTACGAGTGGCAGCAGTCGCAGAAGTACTTCCCCAGGTATTCGCAGTACCGGAGCCGCTTCACGAACTCTGCCAGGGTGCACAGGACGATGAGCACCGGCTCACCTGAGGCCGGAAACCCGCCCTCGCCCCGCCCTCGCCTCCCAGGCCCGCCCAAGGTCAAGACTCAAGATGGCTGTTCTCATGCTGGGGAGAACAGCAGACGCTGGAGGCCCTGAGTCATGGAGGGTCATGAGCTTCACTTTTGTGGAACGGGTGCTGGAAAACAGAACCCTCCCCCAAACACCTGGATTTGGAAGATGGGCCTTTAAGCTGACACGTGGCCAACAGAACATGAGATTCAAGGTCTGGGGATTTGGTGGGAGTTCAGACCGAACCTCCTACTTGGCAGGAAGACTCTGACAAGCCCGAATCTCTTCAGGCTAATTGTCCTGAAGCCACAAAAACAGCCCAGAATTGTATTCTGTGATACCACAGGTATGAAAAATGCTTTTTAATGATAACGCACACTCTGTATGCTATCGGAAAGTAGTATCCTAAAAGAGTTCTTGGATAAATCCATGAGGAAAAAATAAAACAGAAAAATGCACAAAGGATGGAAATACATGGGAAGAGAAAACATAACCAGTAAAGATCTGAAAAACATATATGGTGACCCGCATCCCCTACACACACTCACTCACTCTCACTCTCTCTCTCTCTCTCTCTCCTTTGGGGACAATCACTTCCTTAGGCAACGTTTCACTCCCAGGCCAATAAGCCTGGATTAAGTTCCCTGGCTATAAAACCCATAGCATTCTTGACTTTCTCTTTCATTGAAAGTATCACCCAGTTATTTACTTGGCTGATGACATCCTGTCAGCAAGCTCCATGAGGGAAGGAGCACATTCCTATCAACGAATCATCTTCACATCTGAACAAACTCTGGGAGGTACTTTAAAAGTTGGTGGAATCATAGTCACACATCTTCACAGTTTCTGACTCATACATTCAATATTTACTGAGGCACCAGGATACAGTGGTTAACCAGAGAGATATGGTCCCCACTAGACTTTAGCTGGGAAGATGAGTCATTGAAAGAAAATCATTTCCAACTGTGATGCATGGCAGGCACTATCATTCTACCATGGCAGGCATGGTAGGAAGTTCAGATGGATTTATGCTTTTTGTTTTTATTTCTTGAGGTGGAGATGCTCAAAGTCTTACTCCATCCCAGAACGCCTATCAAAGGCCAAGGGAACCCTTTCCAGCAAATCTCCTCTTCCTAGGCTTCCACAGGTCAGACCTATGGATGCTCTTACAGCAAAATAAGTGATTCCCAGTCTCAACTGGGCAACTCGCCTTTCTGATTGAGTGAAACCTGATTTTCTAGGCCCTGAGGCCACTCCCTCAAACTTTCTCAGAGGAGTCTGGTTAGGTCCTAGGTAAGCCATCTAATCATTTAACAAATATCTTTCAAGTCCCAACTGTGTGTGAGGCATACTTGCAGGAGCAGGAGATAAAGCAATTGATAACACAGACCACATGTTGATAATATGTGTATAATAGATAACTAATGAGAACCTGCTGTATAGCCCAGAGAACTCTGTTCAGTGGTCTGTGGTGACCTAAATGGGAAGGAAATTCAAAAAAGAGGGGATATAAAACATATAACGGATTCACTGTGGTGGACAGCAGAAAGTAACACAAAATCATAAAGCAAGTATACTTGAATAACAGTCAATTAAAAATAAAATAAACCACGTATCTGTCCTCATGGAACTTAGAATCTAGTGAGAGACAGATAATAATAAGGAAGATCAATAAGATAGAGTATTTTAGGGAGATAAGGACTTGAATAAAAACAAAAAGGAAGGGGGATATCAAGTGTATGTGTGTGTTTGTAGCCAAGAGGGTGATGAGGTGGAGTTTCAATAGGGCAGCCAAGGAAGACGTGAGAGTGCAGATGGGAAGGAAGGAAGGGAACTGGCCCCAGTTGTGGGAGGGCGCGCGGCATGTCCAGGGGAGGGCATTCCAGGGGGAGAAAAGCACAGATGCAGATCCCTGAGTCAGGAGTGAGCCTGTCACCTTCAAGGACCAGCAGGGAGGCCATGTGGCTTGAGCTCAACGCCCGATGGGGCAAGAGCTGGGAGATGAGAGTCGGAAAGCAATGGGCAGTTACAGTGCAGGTCACAGTGGCCTCTTCACCACAGAGAGGGCAGTGTTATGAAGTGACTGTAACAACTTCTCATCTTAGACATAAGAACAATGCACGTCCCCCGTTTCTGTGCTATACGCTAGGTTCTCACTAGTCATGTGCTTCGTTCACAGTTGTATACATATGTCAATCCCGATCTCCAACCCCCCAAAAAGAAGGTACAGTCTATTTGTAGGACATACATTAAGTTAACCTTAAATACGTATTCCAATATACATTCAGTTCAGTTCAGTCGCTCAGTCGTGTCCAACTGTTTGTGACCCCGTGGACTGCAGCACGCCAGGTTTCCTTGCTTCACCAACTCCCAACTCCTAGAGTTTGCTCAAACTCATGTCCATTGAGTTGATAATGCCATCCAACCATCTCATCCTCTGTCATCCCCTTCTCCTCCTGCCTTCAATGTTTCCCAGCATCGGGGTCTTTTCCAATGAGTCAGTTTTTTACATCAGGTGGCCACAGTATTGGAGTTTCAGCTTCAGCTTACAATATACATCAGTTCAGTCGCTCAGTCATGTCCAACTCTTTGCAATCCCATGAACCACAGCACACCAGGCCTCCCTGTCCATCACCAACTCCCAGAGTCCACCCAAACCCATGTCCATCGAGTCGGTGATGGCATCCAACCATCTCATCCTCTGTCGTCCTCTTCTCCTCCTTCCCTCAATCTTTCCCAGCATCAGGATTAGGTGCAGACAAATATTATTTGATTGCACTTATGTGAGGTACCAAGAAGAGTCAAATTCATAGAGTCAGAAAGTACATTGGTAGATGCCAGGGGCTGGGGGATAGGAGGTGGGAAGGGGGGAATGGGGACAGTGTGTAATGGGGATAGAGTTTCAGTTTAGGAAGGTGAAAAATTTGGGAGATGAATGATGGCAAGAGTTACACAACAGTGTGAATATACTTAGTGCCACTGAACTATACAGTTAAATATGGATAAAATAGTATGTTTTATCCATACATGACTAATGTGGATGGACTAGTGATGTATGGATGTGAGAGTTGGACCATAAAGAAGGCTGAGAGTCGAAGAATTGATGCCTTCGAATTGTGGTGTTGTAGAAGACTCTTGAGAGTCCCTTGGACAGCAAGGTGATCCAACCAGTCAATCCTAAAGGAAATCAACCCTGAATATTCATTGGAAGGACTGATGCTAAAGCTCCAATACTTTGGCCAGCTGATGTGAAGAGCCAACTCATTGGAAAAGACTCTGATGCTTGGAAAGACTGAAGGTAAAAGGAGAAGAGGGTGGCAGAGGATGAGATGGTTAGAAAGCATCACCAACTCAATGGACATGAATCTGAGCAAACTCGGGGAGATAGTGAAGGACAGGGAAGATTGGCATAATGCAGTCCATAGTCTCTAAGAGCTGGACAGGACTTAGTGACTGAACAACAACAAGAGTATGTTTTATATTATGTGACTTTCATGACAATTAAAAAACATTAAAAAAAAATGATGCAAACTGCCCAACTTTCTTTTGGATGTATAGAGAGATAATTAGGAAACCTAAAATTGGTTATTTGGGGGGCTTTCTTACTTATGATATTTAAAAATGTAAGAGTATGGGTATGAAATTATGTAAATTTCATTCATATGCTTATTAATCAAATCACCATTGAACAAAAGATTTGTTGCTGTCTATATTGTCTTGCATGCACTTGAGAGAAATGAATATACCAATATTTATGCTTTAAGGTAAAAATGTCATTGCCTAATAAGTAAGCAACCCAATATCCATACTTACTAGGTTCTATTGGCGTTCCACAGCCAGCACAGAAAAAATTTTGGGCTATTACCACGAGATCCCTCCTGAGGACAGAAAATGGTAAGAGTTATATTTCAGAAAAGGCCAACAGGGCATTTTTCACTGATTGGAAGAGAAATTGACATTGGGATGTTTTTCTTAGTTTGAGGGCTTAATTTTATCATTTTTTCATTTGGGAAAGAAATAGAATTTTTCTTTCCCAAGAACAGAGCTTTCTAGTTGGGTCAGGAAGCATTTAACAAAAGGCTTCTTCCTGTGTGCTGTTTTGGATCTGTCAGGAACCCTCTGGCCCTTATTAATTCCTGAATGTTCAGGAATTAAGAGGAGAGGCACGCCTTTCCCGGGGCTGAGGAATCCAGGCATTTCTCATTACAGTGATAAGTACCCTCTTCCTTTTTATGAGCCAAATGGTAAAAGATGATTGTTTACAACTCTCTCTTTGATAGGGATCATCTTATGTTTTGCAAGTCTGGAATTTTAACATTTGTCTTTGCTGAGAATTACTACAGTATATATGCCCACGCCATGTTGATTAAAAACACCTTTGCTCCATCAGAGCTTTGGTCCCCGTGTCTTTCTTTTCCTCTTTCTTTTTATTCTTTCTCTCTTTCTCTCTATTTCTGGCTAATTCCTTGGAGCGTGGAGGCCCGCTGAGCTCACTTTCTTGCCCGGGCTTCTGAGACCCTCTCGAGAAGGCACACTGCGCCTTCACCCACTCGAGAGGGCGCCTGGTGCCTACGTGCAGCAGCGTGAGCCCTAAAAACAGGGCTCTATTGGCTCTCCGCGTAAACCAGGGGATATCAGCCTCTTTCTCTCTTACTCTCCGGACCACCAGGTTCCGGTCCATTAAAGGACCAACATAGTTGAAATCTCTGGGTCTTTTAAAAGCTCTTGCTACCACCAAAGCAGAAGTCAGTATCACAAATAACTGTTCCACCAGAGTCTTTAGAGACTTCTCATGTGGCATCACAGAGTTCTCTCTCCTGAGAGAACTAGAAGCATATAATACATGGGAGGAGGTTCAGGGGGACAAGACACCATCCCCAAACTTGCTTGGGAAGTTTACAAATGGATCCAGGGACATTTAGATGAATATGAGGTATTGTAAGACAATGCTGTCAAAGATTTTTGGTAAAAGATAGAATATTGAAGTGTTTGCTATTCAACTGTTAGTGTTGCAATTCCAAAGGGGATTTGGCAATATGGAGAAAGTTGTAACACTTTAATACAGTTTAAGGTCAGCAAAAATGGCCAAGGTAAAAATGCATGGTAAAAATATGTGTGCTTTAGAGAGAACCCAGGGAAATCCCAGAGGAAAGACAATCCAGGTCAAGACAAGTTACTCTGCCCAAGGCTTGGAGAGGGAACTCTTCTCGCTAAGCAGCCCCAGAGAACTTCCTCATATTCTTCCAAGAGGAAAAAAAAAAAACAGTCTATAAGGCACCTCTGTGGAGCACAGGCAATAACCATCGCCAGACCCCTCATAACTCTGCAGTTTGCACACTGTATTAAATACCAACCAAGAGGAATGAAAAAAAATGCATTTGGTTAAAATATACTTTTGTCTACAATGTCATATACTCTCAGAATAAATAAATTAAACTATTACTTTAAATTATGGGATTCCAAGGTGACTCAGTGATAAAGAACCCATCTGCCAACGCAGGAAATGCAGGTTCCATCCCTGGGTCAGGAAGATCTCCTGGAGAAGGAAATGGCAACCCACTCCAGTATTCTTGCCTGGAAAATTCCATGGACAGAGGAGCCTGGCGGGCTACAGTCCATGGGGTCACAAAGAGTCAGACATGACTGAGCAACTCAGCACAGCACTACTTTAAATTATTATATATATATATATATATATATATATATATATATCTGTATATCCTTTTTGCACCATCTTATTTGTCTTTTAGAATTTTGTTACTTCTTAGAGAACAGAGGTGTTTTCATTTGCATTCTGTCACGTTTTTTGACTATAAGTTAGTTAGTTCAGTTTGTAAGAGTTCTCCTCAAGATGAAGTGTTCCTTTAAAAAAATGAATTCACTGACTTTTTATTCCACATTGCCCTAGAAAATAGAGTGGTCTAGTCTTAAAATTACTGTATGATATTTTTAAGGTTCACCATTAGCCACTTATATGAGCCTGTTTACTTCTCAATTGTTATGTAATGTTCATAGTTAAGGAAACATAGTTAAATTCTCAACGTGTCAAAACTTACAGAGGCCAAAAGCCCATGGTAAATGGGGTGCCAAGAAAGCTAACTCAGAAAAATGTGCCCAAATTTCTTTCTCCTAAAACAAATTTTCCTTTGTCCCTTGGTGTTTTATTTCTTGCCTTCACCCGTCTCCATGAAGAGACAGAAGGAACCCGTCACAGCTTGTGTTCTAACTGGATGGGTGGTCAAAGCAGCAGCCTAGACTTACTTGAGTGGTGGATGAACATTAAATATGATTTGAAACCTAGGGGGCGCCCAGTCTCCAGTCCGTCTGATCCTTGACTTCAGTTTAATTTCCTGGACGACATCTGTGCTGGATTCAAAGTCTTTCTGGACCTGCTCTTCATTTACAACCTGCATAAATAACCCAGAAGAGGATTCAGGAGCAACTTAAACAAGCACATTTCAAAAACTGAAATGAAAAGAACGTTCAGCTGTGTTCCCAACCTTAACCTTTACCTTGAAAAATAAAAACGGCTTTTAAGTGAGTAACAGAAGCTGGCCAGAGCCGTCTCTGTGTCTAAAACCCTCTGCAGGAGAACTGCTTCAGACGCCACCCAGCTGAGATCACTCTGCTTGGAATTTTTAGTTAGTTTTTTTGTTTCCAGACTGCGAATTACTGTAAGTAGGTCAGTGTGAACTGGAATGCCTTCCTGCCTAGCAGAAGCCCAAGCCTCACCCTGCCTCGTCAATGGCTGACAGACGCTGTGGATCTGAATCCCCTTCTCCAAGAATTATTCTCTGCAGACACTGCCCAGCTTGTACAGGTGCAGACCCCACCCCCACCCCGACCATGAAACTTTCCTCTTGGCATCTAAACTCCAGACTTCTCCAATTACCATCCACATCCTCCACAGTTTGGCCACTTTTGAGCCTTATTTCCCAGGAAGATTAAGATGAACCCTCCCCCAAACATACCCCACTACCCACAAATATGTTCTCCAACTACATCAAATGACTCTGCTCAACAGACACACCACGGGGACTGCCCCAGTGGTCCAGTGGTGAAGACTCTGTGCTTCTACTGCAGGGGGCACAGGTTCGATCCCTGGTCAGGGAACTAAGATGATGCAGCCAAAAGAACCAAAATCCAGAAGCACCATGCACCTCCCAGTCACTTTTACTCCAGCTGCTCCTTCACCCAGAGTGCCCTTCATACACCCCTGCCTGACCTGCTGCCATTCTGCCTGGCCTGACACTTGGCTCAAGTCCTGAGATCTCCATTCAGCCTTTGCAAGTTCCCCTGATGACATGGAACACCGCCTTCCCTGCACTTCCGGTGTGCTTTCTCTCCTGCCCCGATTACAGCCTCTGCCACCCCATGCTCTGCCCGCAGTGAGCTGCCTGCTTGGAGGGCAGTGCGCTCCACAAGGGGACCAGCCTGGACTTTCAAATGAGGCAGCCTGGGGGCTCGACTCCCGCTCTACCACTGACCAGCCCCACTGAGGGTCTGCAGCTAACACCTTAAACTTAAAATAATGGGCTTCCATGGTGGTCTAGTGGTTAAGAATCCACCTGCCAATGTATGGCACATGGGTTTGATCCCTGGTCTGGGAAGATTCCACACGCCGCAGGGCAACTGAGCCTGTGAGCTCTAACTAGTGAGCCCATGCGCTGCAACAAGAGAAACCACTGCATTAGCCCTGGCTCACCACAGCTAGAGAAAAACCTGTGCCTAGCAATGAAGACCCAGCACAGCCATAAATAAATGAGTAAATAAATAAAATTTTTAAAAAATAAAATTAAATTAACAATAGCATCTACCCGTAGGAGATATGTGAGGATTAAGACATGAATTGCTGAGCACAGGCCCTGGTACATTACAAACACCCAATAAACATCAGATTCATCCTTGCTTTTGAGTCTCCCCTAACACCCAGCAGTCATACAAGGAAACACAGAAACCTCTGATGTGGAGAGCAGGCAAAATGAGAATTTAAGAACTGATGATCAAATTCTGTTGAGACTTACTATGGAGCCAGCTTCATCGAGGGAGCCTGCCAGCTGATAATGAACTTCTGCCAGCATCCAGCATTTCTTGAATACGCGGTATAACTCTTTGGCTATCAGCTCAGCAGAATTGAAGTTTGGCTCATGAATGACACTGCAGTGTAAGAGATGCAAACATGGAAAATGATTTTCATAAGAAGTGTGTTAAGGGTCTTTTGCTTCGGGTTTTTAACTATTTCCCCTCCTCAAAAAAGCAGAGGAGGTGACACACAGCAGACCACGTGTGCATCAACCACGCACCAACAGTTATCTTACTTAACTCAATCCCTCCACGTTCCACAGAGCAGCTTGTGTTTATTGAGGGTACCAAGGTGGGGAGGGGTGGGGGGAAGAGGACCGGGTTTAAAGTCAGAAGACTTGGGTTCAAGCCCTCTCTTTTGTGACCCCATGGACTGCAGCCCAGCAGGCTCCTTAGTCCATGGGATTTCCTAGGCAAGAATACTGGAGTTGGTTGCCATTTCCTTCTCCAGGGGATATTCTGCACCCAGGGATCAAACCCACGTCTCCTGCATTGGTAGGCGGATTCTTCTCCCCTGAGCCAACTGAGAAGCAGGTCCGCGTTCTCCCGCTGCTATTTAACAGCACGGTGTCCTGATGCACATCTCATCTGAACCTCAGTTTCTACACCCATAAAACTGGGTTTTTAAACCCTGCCCATCCCACCCATGAGGATTAATGAGAATGTGTACAAGTCTTTCAAACACTCTAAAAACACTGGAGGAACTTTCGTGGTGATTGTTTCATTTCTAAACAGTGATCCCTGTTATTGGAACTGGCTGAGTTTGGCCCAAGATGTCAGACGCCTGTTGTCCTCAGTGCCTCAGAGGAGATGGCCCAGGGGTCTGTGTGCTGATGAAAGTGGGAGGGAGATACCTCTTAGAGGTGTCGGAGGAACATCCACAGGGCTCTGTGGTATTGCTGAAATCTCCAAGTTCTGTGGGAAAATCAAAGAGAAGGTAATGGAGGGCTTTTAGTCTGTTTCTGTTAATCACAGTCAATTTGATACAAACACAAAACTAGCTGCCTACATCTCAGGACCAATTATTCAAGATCTTCATCCTTCAGGCTCTTTTGCATTTCTGTTATGAGACAACAGCTATTATGAGGCCACAGATGGGATTTTAAAATATGCCCATCTGAAATTTCACCAAAATATAATGGAGGGGGCCAAACAGATATCAGACCCTAATGGTATCTGCTTTTGCATTCAAATCGACATGAGATGAGAGATTACTATCAAGACATCATATATTTTTTAACATCAGGGACACAGCCTGATTTGGGGAGGGGTCTCCCTGAATGACAGTGTCTTGTGTTGTGTGTGATGAGTGTCATCAGGTGTGTGGGGGAGGGTGCCTCCATCACAGCCAACATCACAGTTTGCAAATCTCACCTACGATAACAAAGTCATCAAAGTCACATTTGCAGTCCTCTTCCGTCACCTCAGAGAAAGCAGGTGTTTCAACCACTGGGCTCACCTGTAACACAGCGCAACCTAGAGGAAGAAAGGAAGAAGAAAAGACTGTCTAACCTACAACACCCAGCTACATTGAAATGGAGGAATGAAAGGGCTGAGTTGAACTGAAAAGAATCTTAAAATTCAGCTGCAATAATTAGAAAGGTCAGGGGGTGAGGAGGGAGGTGGGAGGGGAGTTCAGGACGGCGGGGACACATGTATACCTAGGGCTGATTCATGTTGAATCATGCATGGCAAACACCATCACAATATTGTAAAGTATTTATCCTCCAGTTAAAATTAAAAGGGCAGGGAGCTATTTTTGTGTTGTTCTTATGTTCACAAGATTAAGTGAAACATACTGATGAGTCTATTGGGGTCCATAGGAGTATTCTACCTACTTCCATGGAAGTTTGAAAATTTCCATAATACAAAGTTTAATAAATGGAAGAGATGGGAGAAACAATCTTTTGTTGTTTTTGTTCACAGTAAGGAAAAGAGTGTAGGTGACGTGAACATTGTACTAGGTTGAGTGTGTGTGCTCACTCAGTCGTGTCCAGCTCCTTTGACCCCATGGACTGTAGCCCACCGTGGGACTTCCCAGGCAAGAATAACTGGCGTAGGTATCAAACCCATGTCTCCTATGTCTTCTGCATTGGCAGGCAGATGCTTTACCACTGAGCCACCTGGGGAATCCACTAGGTTGAGTATGTTCCCCTAAATGTCCCCTACCCAGCACCTGTGAACGTGACTTCATATGGAAACAGGGTCCTTGTAATCAAGGCAAGCTGCAGTCACACTGGATCAGGGTGAGACCTAGAGCCAATGTGAGTGTAAAAAGAGGGAAGTTTGCACACACACACACAGATACTCAGAGACCAAACATCCTGTGAACATTGGAGGGATGCTCTACAAGCCAGGAGCAGCAGCGACTGCCCAGAGTCTGGAGACAGGCAGGGACCAAATTCTCCCTCAAAGCCTCTAGAAGGAACCAACCTTCCAGACAATTCCATGGCTGACCTGTGACCTCCATGACTGTGAAAGGATCCATTTCTGTTGTCTTACACCACCCAATTTGTAGTATTTTGCTACAGGAGCTCCAAGACACTAATACAAATATGTTCATGCTTTTCTATCCCTAATACCAGCTTGGAGAATTAGCCTAAGAATGTCTTCACACAGAGAGAAGAAAAAGTGAAAAAGGAAGGTTGTGATCACAAACGAGTTTTTAAATCCATTTAAAGTGTTAAAATATTGAAAGCCACCTAAATGCTAAATGACTGGGAAAAGACTTTGCAAATCATGCTCTTCGAGAAACACCCTCACTGAAAATGTAATCACTGGAAAAACATTCTAGCCGGGGGATATCAATTTCTCAGCTTTGGTTTCCTCCTGGGTTAAATGGGGGCAGTTTCACCCACTTCTGTGTTTCTTACACTCTTTTGATCATGATCAGCAGTAACATACAATTTACTTTGCAACCTGCTACAGGCACAAAAATATATATCACTGATAAAGTTCCAAGAAGCATCACTCACCCCATGTGAGGTGCGTGCTGATACTGTCCAATTGTTTGTTTGCTTTTTTAATACTGTCTGGATCCACCTGCAATTTGTTGAACTCTGCTCTACCTCATGAAGTAACCTCTATGACCATAAATGTCACAAGGGTGATACTTGATAAAAAAATCAATTTTTTATCTGGGTGGTTAGAAATATTTTAAATTTTATTTAATATATTAATATTAAAAAAAATTCAGCTAAACATGAGCTTCCAGTCAACCAATTCAACACATACTTATAAAATATTTCACGCAAAGCCCCACCTGTGGATCCCCAACTTTTGTGGATACCCAGTGCATCACGGACTCCTTGTTACCAGGATGAATGAAAGAGGACAATGTGGGGAAGGCAGCCAGTGTAAGAAGAGGAATGCTGGGTGACAAGACAGAGGAAGGGGGAAAGCAGGACGGAGCCTAAGGAAAAGCACGTGGGTTTCACAACTGAGTGGCACATTCCAATTCCATTTCCATTCTAATTCCAAGTCAAGTGGCAGAAATGGTGGGGATCGTCAGGTTACTCCAGAAGGACAGTTTGACAGCTGTGTGCGGAGAATATAGCAGAAAGCTTCCTCATATTTCTCCTCACTCACCTTCATAGCCACTGTCAGATGAAGTGGAAGACCCAGATTCCTGCTTTACATGGGTATAAAAGGTCCCTTCCAAGTCTGCCTGATCACTCCCAAGTGGCCTGCTGGCCTCTTCGGTGTTCCAGGTCTCTGTGTGCTGCTGACTTAGAATATTACACTTCATTTTCTCCATGACTGATATAATCATATCTGCAACGTAAAAGTGGGCATTTTCCTGCAGAGGCAAAGATGATCAGTCAGTTAAAATTCTCACAAGCATAATCAACTTGGTTTCCAACCCCCCCCCCCCAACACTGAGGGTGTATTAGATTGAAAAATCAATCTAATTTATTTAAGTGGAGTTATATTTAAGCTATATTTAAGTGGAGTTAATGCATAGACATATATTTATTTCACTGTGTTATCATAGGTCATTACATCAAGAATAGCCCATATCTTCCAGAGGTGGAAGATTTAGCCCACTGCAACCAAAAGATGACACAAGTTGAATTTCCTGTGATATTAAACCCTAGACTGGTGGTGCTGCAATGGGAGACATTACTCATCAGTCATGGAAAATTTCCCAGCTAAAGTCAGACTGTACCAGTCAAATGTTGAAATGAAACTTATTTGCCACGCCTCCTCCAGTGAAGTTTACAGACTGAAATCAGAACAGGCATACTTCAAAGTGTTAACCCTCTTGGTGGTTTTAAAAAGAAGGAAGCCATGTTCACCTTTTCTACATCAACAGGGAGAACGAATGCCTCTGGTGAGAAGGAATTTGAGGAAATAGTTCTTCCGCCAACTTGAACAGCATCTGCCAAGACAGCAAGTTATCAAAAATGGAGAAAAAGAAATTCAAAGTTTATCTAAGAAAACAATTTTAGGGAGTGACTTTCAAATGTTGTTTAAAATATTGGCACGATTCTAGAATAAAATATGATGACACAGGAAGAAAGACTCCTCTGATGGTAGGCATTGTAGATGGCAGAGGGTCATCATTTCTGCAGGAAGCTACTGGAATAACTTGAGAGGAATCCTTAGAGGAGGCAAGGGAGAACCACGGGAATGGAGGAGAGCAGTGAGGAAAGAGGGGAAAGAGAAGAGGATCGTGTAAACTACCTACAGGAGATGAGAAGGAACAGTCTGGAAGCAGGACCGTAAGAATTACGGGATCATTCCTCCAACTCACTGCAAATGACCTAAAACTTCCTGTTTACAGTAATAAAATCTATCTGAAAAAGGTCAGCACCGCTTCTCTAAAATGATCTTCCTCTAGTCAGAAACAAGAAGAAACTGCAGAGGTTATATTCGGCTGACTCATCTATTCTGCATCCTTATTAAGCCACTCCATTACTGGCAATGAATGCCACCAAGACAAAAATGAGGTCTGTCATGTGATATCTGATTGCAGCACATACGGCAAAACATTTCTGTGACATCCATAAGCGCTGCTGTCCCGAGCTGATGAATCAGAACCAAGTGCTACGGATGTCTTGATGGTTTTAAAGCTCTTGGGGTGGCAAAGAGAGAGGCCAGCAGGATTCCTCCAACTACTGCAGGGAAGAACTGACTCCATGATGGATCTGTTTCTTTTGCTTTAACCTGTGCTTCCCGTTGCTTTGGTTCACTGAAAGGATACTGTCCACACATAATGGCCTGCCTCAGGGAACCCTGCCCCTCTGCCTGAATGTTAAGCCAAAATGCCTTTTGTTCAGGACCCTGTCCACCAGTAGATGGCTATAGGAAGGAAAAAATTAACACATTCCTTTCTGGAGGCTGGCCATTCCAGGAGATAGTTGTAACATTAACCGTCTTTTTTACTTTACATCCTCACTTCCCCCATCTCTGTTCTGTAAAAGAAGCTGGCATCCAGACCCTGATAAGATGGTTATTTTGAGACATTAGTCTACCATCTTCTGGGTCAGCTGGCTTTCTGAATAAAGTCATATTCCTTGCCTCAACACCTCATCTCTCAGTTAATTGACCTGTCGTGTGATGAGCAGAGTGGGTTTGGACTCAGTAACATAACCCCTTCCTTGCCTCGTGTTCAAGAACTCCACTGTTCCATGGAAAACTTTGGACCTCTTAGCTTCAGAAGCCATCTGGGGTGGGCAAACTTTTTCTGAAAAAGACTATATAGTAAATGTAGGGCCTGAGGGCCACACAGCACCTGCTGCAATTATTACTCAGTTCTGCCACTGCCCCGAGAAAGCAGCTATAAACAAAACAAACACAGCTTTATCTGTAAAATCAGAAGTCTGGTGGCATTGGGTTACAGGTCCTGGTTTGGGGACTCTGAGGATAGAGGGGAAAATGCAGAGAAAAATCAGGCAGCGCCTTCCAGTTCCAGCTCTCCACACACCAGCTGTGCCTCTGCAGTAAAATTTCCTCATCCTAGGAATTAGGATAATCATTTTATTAGGAAACTAAAGGAGCTGAGGAATGTAGGAGCACTGTAAACGTGGAGATCCTTAGCCAACAAAAGGAACCGTTTCTTACAGCCTCAGGAAATTGCAGACAGGCTCAGCTGTTTCCCCTCCATATAATCTAAGAAAGGAAACCCCTGCTACTGCCATTTGAGATGCAGCAGATGCAGGAAAAATGCCTCGTGGCAAATGCCTGTTCTGCCTGTTGCTGCCTCCTACACCAAAGAAAGGACCAGATCACTCGGGGCTTCTTTTCCTTAAACTGGGGAAATGAATCCCCTTGCCAGGTTTAAGACAGATGGTCAAAAAATGGAGTGGTTTTCACTGTTTTTGAACAGAAGGGGCTGGTGTGTTTGTTTTCTTTCTGGGACAAAGGATAATTTTATTTACTTTTCTTTAAAGATATCCTTTGATGTGGACCATTTTTTAAAAATCTTTATTGAATTTGTTACAATACTGCTTCTGTTTTATGTTTTGTTTTGTTTTTTTTCTAGCTGAGAGGCATGTGGGATCTTAGCTTCCTGAGCAGAGATATAACCTGCTCCCTCTGTACTGGAAAGCAAAGTTGTAACCACTGAACCACCAGGGAAGTCCCAGAAAGGATAATTTTACATTGCAGAACAACTTCTTGCACAGGTACACAAAAAGTTATTTGGGGCAGGGGTACAGTAGGCCCTAAAGATCATCTTCTGTTTATAACTTGTCATGGTGGTGTTCTGTGGGAAAGACTTTTAATTTTCTCTCTTTTCTCCTCACCCTCCCGTGAGACAATCAAGTAGGAGACTAATTTCTCAGTTTTCAACCACTAAATTTGCAAGTCACTTTTTTCCTGAGAACTATCCAGGCAGATGAGCAAAAAGGAAAAAAAAGGCCTGCAATCAGACTGAGCTCCTGAGCATGCATGCCATCAAACTGTGCCATATTGCTCAAACTTGGTTCTTACCTCAAAGTTAGCTCATTGAAAAGATTGTCCGGAATCTGCTTACTCTTAAATTGTATGTTAAAGACTGTCACTATCTCTGAGTTTTCAAAAGTTTCAGTAGAACAAATAAACCTCATATCTTAGGAAAGGGAGAGGACTGGTTTCTGCTAATAAGAAATAAATACATGTGCGTGTACACACACACACAAACACACACACATACACACACAATTTAAAAGGCAGCTTTTAAATTGCTTTGAAATAAAAAACTTCCTTGACTATTTGAACTAGGATTCCAACAAAAATACAAATTAATGCAAAGTGAATATAGTATAGTTAATATTTAAAATTAACTAAGCATGCCACAAATCATAATAACAAGAAGAGCTTAATTTATTGACTCGCGTGGCATCTGGCATGGATTACTTGGGTTTCAGAATTTTGGCATTTTAGGAATATGCGCCTGACCTTAGAGCAACGGGAGACCTGGTTTTAATTGGAAAAAAGTTTTGTCCGATTTGGAGGAATTGTGGTTCCTATTTTTAAACCTTACGATTTTTCTAGTCGCACCCCGTCCAGGTGAGTCTAACAGTGAGGCGTGTTCCTCTCCCACAGGAGCACTGGTGTGAACCGGGGCCCACTCTGCGGGGACCACTGTCCACCATGACGCCGAAGGCAGAGCACTTCCGGTGCTCTCCCACGGGGCCCACACCCACGCTCTAAGACGACAGCTGGCCCTGATTATTGACTAAGCTCTCTTGCATCTCAGGAGAAAGGGGATCCTTGACTCCATCAGCTGTGACCCTCCCAGTGGCTGGGCTAAAGATGATATGAACTGAGCTGGCGCCCTGGCTGGTGAGCGTCGTGGAAAACCGGAAGGGTTTTCCTCACGAGGAATACTCATCCTCGGCCCCAAGCAAGAGCAGGTGTGAGATCAGACAGGAAGGGTGGAAGTCCAAACTAGAGTTACCTGCATCAGCAGAAGCTGTCAGCTGGGAAGGCTTGAAAAAAGCCCTGCCATGCTCAGGACGGGGGGGACCGGACACAGTCTTGGAGCTCGTGATCAGAGACGTGAGAGGACAGCGTCTTGGGAGCACTGCCCGCTCTTCCTTCGAGGTGAGAGAGGAGTCACGGGCATTGCCAGCAGAGCCCCGGGCAGAGGAGCTGCCCACGGAGTCCGTGGTGCCCGTCGACAGCGAGGTCTCCACCACGGAGTGCCCAAGAGACGAGGGTGAAGCGCCCAAGGGAGATCTGGTGTCGGACACAGCCTGGCTCTCTCTGTTCCCCACTGCGAGCCCCTGGGGGAACGAGTCCTGCAGCTCTTGCTGCACACATGGGGGCTTAATCCAGGCAGCTTTGTGCCTTGTGAACCTGATATCTGATGGGCAGGAGGGGTGCCCAGTGTCCAGGAGGCTGGGCAAACCATCAGTGTCGCCTGGGTCATCGCTGACCCCTTCCCAGGGGTCCACAGGTGAGTCCTGCCGGCTGGAAGACTGAGACACCATCTTCAGGGCTCAGGGCTAGTGTGAATTCCCTTGTGCTGTTGGATTGGACCTTGAACTCACCACATGGCCAGCTGGAGGGCTGGAGAGTTTATCTGCAATGAGTGAGAATCATTTACCATAAACAAGGGCTCAATCATATTTTTTAACTCCATAATCTTATGAGGAAGCAAAGAAACTTCATGTTTCAATAGAGTCTGGACTTTGCCCTATACAACACAGACAACTCCACTTAGATTTAAAAGTAAAATATTAATAAACAAGTAGGCCATAAAACTAGCAGCAAATGTAAGGGATATGACACTGAGATAGGAAAGGGGTTTCAAAGCATAAAAATAATTCTTTTTATGCAAGGATAAAGTCATATAAGGATACAGCTGATAAAAAACTAAAACAGCAGCAAAATGTAAAACATTCCATGCATTATTTCAAAATTAAATGTCAAACCCAAAATGGGAATGCTGCCTAGGAGGAAAGACATGTTTTCATAGTTTTCTAAATTATTATTATTGGGGTATAATTGCTTTACAGTGCTGTGTTTGGTATCTGCTGTACAAAAGAAGTGAATCAGCTATAACTATACATACATCCCCTTGGATCTTCCTCCCAACCCACATCCCACCCTTCTAGGTCATCATAGAGCATTGAGTTGAGCTGCCTGCACTAGCTATCCCACTAGCTATCTATTTTACATATGGTAGTATATGTATGTTTCTTCTTTTTATTTACTTTGTGGTCGTATTTCAACAAAGTGGACCCATGGCATGTGAAACTGAGAACAACCAACAGCACTAAAAACTTGGTTTTGTGTAACTGTACATGAGCTTATGAAACTTAGATTATAAAAGCAATAAAAAGTTATGATTTGCTTATAATATCTAAAGAACACACTGTGATCTAGATGCTGTCTTTAAAATGGTCCACTCGCTTTTTAGCTCCATTTTTAGCATTAGTAAATCAGGCAATGATTACAATGTTGAGAGTGACACAGATGAGAAGCACTCTTGTCACTAATTACAGCCCAGCACGTGTGTCTTCCTGACACTCTCCCGCCGTCCCTCACATTGTAAAGCTCAGCCTTCAACAGACACCGCGAAACTGGCAAGGGGAAGGTTTAGCAATGAAGGTGTCTGCTTGGACACTGAGCCTAAACAAAGGGTGAAGTCCATGGGTACACTTCAATAAGCCGAGGCTCTGGTCCTCATAAAGTTCCAGGGCTTTAAACATCATCTTTATGTATACAGGTGACTCCCACATGGATCTCTATTCCTGACCTCCCCTGAACTCCAGACTAGTGTATCCTACTGCTTATTTGACATTTGTCTAGGAGCATCACACCTGATATATCCAAAGAAACACTGATTTCCAGCCCCTCCTCCCCGCCCCTGGCCAAATCTGCTCCTTCCTGGTTTTCCCCATCTCAGGAAACATACCCCTCAGGTGCTGAAGTCCCAAATCTAGGAGTCATCATGACCCTATCTTCCAGAGCTCTCCATCTTTAACCCACCAGCAAGCTTATTCCTGAACTTCCCCGGTAGCTCAGAGGTAAAGAATCTGCCTGCTGATGCAGGAGACGCAGGAGACTCAGGTTCGATCTCAGGGTGGGGGAAGATCCCTGGAGGAGGAAATAGCAACTCACTCCAGTATTCTTGTCTGGAAATCCCAAGGACAGAGAATCCTGGCAGGTTACAGTCCATGGGGTCATAAAGATCAGACGTGACTGAGGACAACAACAACAAGCTTACATCTATAGCTACCACCTAGTCTAAGTCACCATTTTTCCAGTGGTCTCCCTGATTCTTCTCACCTGTTTGTAATCAAGTTATTCAGAGATATCTTTTATAAATCTAAATCAATCCCCTATCTGACCCTGTCAACTACAAACTGGCACTTGCCATCTACCTCTGCAAGGAGTAAACATGTGCCGCTGAAGCTACTGATTTTCAACACCCCCTGAAGGAGTTGAGGGTGGAGAGCAGAAATGAGGCACCCCGTGCTCCGGGGATGAGCAGGACTGGCAGGATAGGTCTTCAGATAGTTAAGATACTTTCAGGAGCTGATTTTATGAGCCAATGTGTATATCTCCTCATATCTAGAAAAGCCCTAAAATCCTTCATGGTGATGACTATTCCTCGTGACTACCAGAAAGCATCACGAGACTAGCAGAAAACTTTTGGAAAAATACGTGCTTGATTGCATATACTCTCCCATCACTAAAATCACACATATACTGACCTTCCCCCCTGCCTCTTTGGAGCAGTTTCCTAGAGCTATCTGAGGTGCTGTCTCCCAGGCGAGACCCCTCATTTAAAACTTAACTCACAGGCTTCCCTGGTGGCTCAGTAGTAAAGATTCCACCTGCCAATGCAGGAGACACAAGTTCGATCCCTGGTCTGGGAAGATCCCACCTGCTGTGGAGCAACTAAGCCTGTGCACCACAACCCGTGAGCCGATGCTCTCCAGCCCAGGAACTCAGCTACCGAGCCCATGTGCCGCAACTAGAGAAAAGCCTGTGCAGCAGCAAAGACCCACAGCTTAAAATAAGCACATAAATAGAATTATATTATAGAATTATAAATTATAGTAATAATTATATAATCAATATAATTATAAATTATAGTAATAATTATATAATTAATATCATATATTATAAATTGTATTAATAGCTATATAATTAATATTATATAATTATAAATTATATTAATATAAATACAAGTAAAATTATATAAAATAAAACTTAACTCGTAACTCTCACGTTGTGCATTTTTTTTTAAGTTGACAACCCTCACCCCCATCATAGCTTTCCATTAAATCCCGAATAAAATCCAAAATCCTTACCTTGTCCCCCACGCACGACATGACCCTGTCCTGCAGACTTCTCTGGCCTGTCCACCCTCTGTCAGTCCCAGCTACGAAGCAAGCTCTCGACTCCCACAAGCTCTTGTTCACCTTCTGTTCTAGTCCCTCTGTTTGGACCGCTCTCCCCTCAAATGACCACACATCTGACACCTTCCTGTCTTATGCACTCCTGGGTTTATGAATGACTTCCTCAAAGAAGTCTTTCCTAACCACCTCTCTTAACACAGTTCCCTGGTTACACCGCATCACACCACTTTGCTTAATCGTCAGCACAGTAGCTCTCAACTTCCTGCTGCTTACTGTCATCCTTGTCCACCTCTCCACCCCGGACTAGAAGCTCCAGGAGAGCAGGGGCCTTGTCTCAGACTGGCCAGTGGGGGCTCAATAAGAGCTATAGACTGAATGAACAAATCCAGCAAAATGAAAATAGAGTTACAGGCTAGAGAAAAGACTTCTGTGATTGATACAACTGCACTACTATCACGGCAGACCTTCTCATCACAGATGGAAGTGAGTCCCCGTTTCCTAAAGATACGAAATTTTTCTCACCCAATGCTTACAAATAGACCCAAAAAGGCAATGTGAAAATTGTTCTAAAAACCTTTGGGTTTTCTTGATTAGGGGGTCTTCCATTTTAGCTCACAGCTTTTGCAGTGATGCAGGAGACACGTTGTTCAGTCACTCAGTCGTGTCCGACTCTTTGTGACCCCGTGGACTGTAGTCCACCAGGCTCCTCTGTCCATAGGATTTCCCAGGCAAGAATCCTGAAGTGGCTCGCCATTTCCTTCTCCAGGAGATCTTTCCAGACCAGGAATCAAACTCACGTCTCCTGCATTGGCAGACAGATTCTTTACCACTGAGCTACCAAGGAAGACTAACGCAGGAGACAGACAGACAGACATGTGTGTGTGTGTGTGTACACCAACCCAATGGACATGAGTTTGGGTAAGCTCTGGGAGTTGGTGATGGACAGGGAGGCCTGGCGTGCTGCAGTCCATGGAGTCGAAAAGAGTTGGACACAACTGAGTGACTGAACTGAACTAAATGTGTATATATATGCCATCCTGAGAACACAGCACAAGCTCCAAATCACCAGTCACAAAATATCACAGGATTTGGTGATAAACTGCCAGCTCTCACTATCTGAAGTGTTTCATCTTCCTTCTCCTGAGCTCAAATTCCACCTGTGCCCCAATTTCTCTGTCACACATCTTTTCCTCTCCAGTAGTTTCAAGTGTTATAATTACAAAAAAAAAAGAAAAAAAAGCCCACCCATGACTATGGTTTTATAAAATGCCCCAAACATAGAAGTCTAGAGTAAAAAGTGAGACCTTCTCATCACACCAAGCCCCACCAACCCCAATTCTTTCCCAGAAAAAACACTGTCAACCATTTTATTGCTTCCAGATCTTCTATGAATTAACATACATATGTCAGATCAGAAGATATGTCATTTTTTTTTTTATACACACATGCCATCACACCGGACATATGCTAAATATACTTTCTTTTACTCAATATGTCTTGAGGGTACATACTCTTTTTTTTAACTATCTTACCACTTTTAGGGTATAAATGTATCATAATTTCTTAGTCATATTCCTATTAATGAAAATTTATTTTCAGTTTTTTACTATTATAAAATATACAGCAATGAACATCTTTATTCATATTGCTTTTTGTTGATTTTCTTTTATTATACCTTTTCTTTTACTAGTTCTAATTTTAGTTCTGAGCCCCTGGCCTATGATAATCTTACTATTTCCAAAAGAATGAAGCTATGTAAGCCGTGTTTTATTCTCATATTTCTACACATCATATTTAGTTTTCTGTGTGAGAGATGATTACAACTGAGAAATCATATGGTAAGTAATAGTGTGATCTCTGTGTTTTTATAAACAGATTAAAGTTAATAATTCAAGGAGAATGTTATTTATGAGCCTCTCAGATGTGGAAACAACTGCACTGAGCAAAAGCAAGACTTTCTTATAAAAAGTAATTTTCAGAAGCAGGTGCTTGTTCTACTTCCTTCTAGAAAGATGTTCTTGTTTCACACAAAGAGCCCGCAGATCTTGGCTTTGCCAGGTTATAAAATAAGAGCTTTTTAGAGCGGGAACAGAACCACAGGAATTCAAGCTATATCTAAGGTCACAGCTGGGCAGTGGCGGAGAAAGGCTTGCAAGCCAGGCTGGGCACTCATTAAGCAGCATGAGTTTCCCTGAGAGACACACGGACACCGGGGGCAGAGCAGTGACCGGGAGCAAAGCCCAGTTCCTGGTGATAAGATGCCATCTCCATCTCTTGGTCTTTGGGGCAACAGATAATTCATGAGATACCAAGAAATGGTTGCTGGTTATGTTGTTTATTGCCACACTGCTCACAAACTGTAATTCAACTAAACATATTTATTGAGCATATACTACATGACTGGCATTGTTTTTGTTTTGGTAGCACGGGGGTTACAGTGGTGACTAAGATAAGCTTCCTGACTTCCAGAAGCCTACATTCTGGCAGAGGGGAGATGGGGACTAAACACATACATTGATACCTCTCAGGTACTGACTGGCAGTAGATAATAGGAATCTAAGGAATGACTGGCATCTTCTCCAAGTCCTCCCCACTGTCATAAATGAGCTCCTTTGGATCAGAGATGCTTATGTGCAAAGATAAAAGTCCATCTCCAACCACATATTAAAGGAAGAGAAATTTAGTTGCAAAGCTTACTGTCATTTCTACTGGGATTTTCCTTTTGAGAGTAAACACAGGCCAGATTACTAGTTAACACATGGGCAGCAGCAAAGGCCCTAGGCAAAGAAGAGACTCCAGGACTTCCCCCACCCACCCTAAATCATTCTGGAAGGTCCCTGGGCGTTGGACTCAGTGGTCCCACTGAGAATGACTGCATCACTAGGGCCACTGCTGGGGTACAACATCCACTCCAAAGATGCAACCTTTGCAAGAGGGGAAGATGACTCATTGTGAGTCACCATGACCTCTAGAGTGAGCTCACAAAAGCCCAGTAGACTACAGTATTAGTTGCTCAGTTGTGTCCAACTCTCTGCGACCCTATGGACTGTAGCCCACCAGGTTCCTCTGTTCATGGGATTCTCCAGGCAAGGATGTGGAATGGGTTGCCATTCCCTTCACCAGGGGATCTTCCCAACCCAGGGATCAAACCCAGGTCTTCTGCATCACAAGCAGATTCTTTACCATCTGAGCCACAAGGGAGGCCCAAGCAGCCAGCATTTTGATGGTAGATAAACTACTTCAGCAGCTAATAAAAACCCTTAACAATCTTAAAGATACTCCATGAATAGGTGAAGTATTCAGGTTTAGGATTTGGGGTTTTCTCTGCCTCAGCACTAGCTAGTAACTGAATACATAGCTGGGAGCATCCGAGTAAAGGCTCATCTTAAATGTGATCTTCTCAGATAGGCCTCCCTGGTTACCCTATAAATAATGGCAACTGCCCCTCCCTAATAGGTCCTCTCCCCCTCGGCAACTCTAGTTTTTTCCTCCTTACTCCTCACCACTAATCATCATTTTGTTTAACCTCAATGACTAACACCCACTAGAATGTAAAATCTTTGAGGGCAGTTTTTTTAATATTTATTTGGCTGCGCCTGGTTTTCGTTGTGGCACACAGGATCTTTGACCTTTGCTGGGGCGTGTACGACCTAGTTCCCTGACCAGGAATTGAACCCAGGGCCCTTGCATTGGGAATGCAGTCTTAGCCACTAGGGAAGTTCCCAGGTTGTTGGGTTTTGTTTTTTTTTTAACTGGAGAATAATTGCTTTACAATGCTGTGTTAGTTTCTGCTGTACAATGAAGTGAATCAGCTATGTAACTTTTATTTTGATCACTGCTCTGCCCCTGGTATCTAGAACAGGGGCACATAATAGGTGCCCAACAAATACATTGAGTGTATGAATAAGAATGAACAAACTCACCAACAGTACCTGAGCATGGTTATATTGGCTATTTCTATTGCCTAAGAAAGGAGTCCAAGAACAGGCATCACCCTGTAGAAGAAACTGGAGATTACAACCTAAAAGAGCTGCCAACAATTTCCTTAGAACAGAGGATGTTAGAGAAGAGAAATTGCAAACAGGAGTTGAGTGTGAAAGGTCGCATTCATTCCTTACAACTTTATGGTGTCTTAGTGAGCATGCCCAGTAAGAGACAAAAGCAAGCAGAGAGTGAAATGATCTTGAACCATGGCACGTGAGCACTTCGGTTAAGACAGTTCCCCAGAACCTCTTCCCGTCTTTCTGTATCTACTTCCCTTCGTGTTTTGACTTTAAACAAAGGCTCATATCCCCCCAGGACATCTGCACACTCAAGTGATCCCAGATCACCCAGAAATCATCAAGATGCCCAATAATGAGACTTCATGGCTTCTGTGTCAGGGGCCGGGAATCAGAGTCAACTGCAGTTTTCAGCCAGCTGCCCCTTCACTGTGTTCGCACGACAACAGCACAGGGAAGAAGAGTTTACTGCAGTGGGGGCGGGCGGCATCACCTGACTCCTCTCTGGGCAACTTAACCTTGGCAGTGACCCTTACTTGTGAAGGTCTGTTGTCAGAAGAACACAGAGGAAGGACAGAAAGCAGGGTGGGGTGGGAAGGGGAAGACCCAGCCAGGGCAGAGGTCAAGGAACCCCACATATTTGCTTAAGAAGACTTCAGGGTTGCCCAAGATGCACAAATGTCTGACTTCCCCTGTGGTCACTGCATATGTCACACGTAACACTCTCATTCTGCACAATGAAAATTTATGATATTTCAGGTGTTCTTAGACCAGTCTGGGAACTGAAATGCAGCCCATCAAGGGACTCGCCCAAAGTCTATTAGCAATCAGCAGAAGTAGAACAAAAATAAAGGTCCGACACCTGATGCAAAGCTCCTTCCCCTGGTATTTATGTGTTCCGTGTGGGCTGAAATTCGCAGGATATTTTCAGTTTCCTTAGCAAAGTAATTTTAAGGATTTCCCCATCAGGTGCGTCACAAAGCATGGGATTAAGAACCACACAGCTACATATATTTGATCCCATGCGTTTAGAACAGTTGTCCCCAGAATTTTATGATATGACTTCCTATTTGAAAAAAATCTTTGTATTTACATCTCCAATATAAGACTATTTACTTATAAATCTTACATATGCACAGATATTCTAATACACTGTATAACTATAAAGCATTATTGAAACAGATACAAGAGCAGAGCATTTTGTTCTTGCTTTCCAATGAATCATCTTGTACCCTGCTGCTGCTGCTAAGTCACTTCAGTCGTGTCCGACTCTGTGCGACCCCATAGACAGCAGCCTGCCAGGCTCCCCCATCCCTGGGATTCTCCAGGCAAGAACACTGGAGTGGGTTACCATTTCCTTCTCCAATGCATGAAAGTGAAAAGTGAAAGTGAAGTCGCTCAGTCGTGTCTGACTCTTCACGACCCCATGGACTGCAGCCTACCAGGCTCCTCTGTCCATGGGATTTTCCAGGCAAGAGTACTAAGGTATATAACTTCCACTTTGGGGACCACTGCTCAAGTAATGCTTTACTCAAAATCTTATATACAAAAATCAATAACAAAAAAGACTTATACATGAATATAATTAGATAACTAAATAAGACTTAAAGATGGCTAGATTCCCATGTTTGGGGAAAATATTGGGTTGGAAAAATCCAGACGAACTTTTGGCCAATTCAATAAAGTGGGGAGCCATATTAGAAAACAGTTTGACAGTTCTTCAAAAGGTTTAACGTACAGTTACCATTTGAGCAAGCAATCCCACTCCTGGCTACATATCCAAGAGAAACAAAAGTATGTG